GAAGTGTTTTGTTAATTTTTTCCAATGTTGTAATTATTTGTTTTTAATTGGTACCAAATATTAGTGTGAATAATGAATTGTCTTCAGTACAATACTGCTACTATATATTACAGAGTACTCAGCTAAATAACAGATGTTGAGGGTAGACAGAATTCATAATCAGATCAACAACAGATATTGTCAGAATTGCTGATGCTTGCATTAAAATAAGAAGTGCATTAAATAGAATGCTGAATTTGGTAGTAGCGCATGAGCAAAGGGCTTGTTACCAATTTTTCTAATTTTAATTCAGCCACTGTTAATTGTTATAGCAGTGATTCCATCATCCTTCTCAATAGCTTGTATTCCTAATTATCTTGGACTTTCCACTTTCAAGTAGGCCGCATCTACATTGCCAGGTTTGAAACTGCATTATATGTACAGTTTAGAAACCTATAATGCAGTTTCAAACTTGGCAGTGTAAATGGGGCCTATTTGTCTATGCTGCCGCAAATCTCCTACAATGCAACTTGGTTGTTAACATGAATTGTTCTTACATCTTTTCCTGTGAAGCTTGCTGTGAGATACTGGAGTCTAGTTAAAAAGTCATGTTTCTCACATCCAAATAACATTAATCTTACTTAGTTCCAGATTAAAGTGATAGGTTACGAAGGAAATAAGGTACCTGTGGAATTCATTAAGCCCTCCTAACAAACTTTAGAAGGGAGCTGCTCTCTAAATATAACTTCCATTCTGTCTTGATTTCATTCTGGAAAGGGCAAGTCATAAGGATGCTAAATATCCAGTTGTAAAGGTTGTGTTGTAAAGGCCTCACTTTCTTTGGCAACAGTTGTTTCCACGAAAAGCTCCAGTGCAGACTAATGTTTACTACACAAATAGCTGTAATCCTATTTCTGGCTACCTAAATTGTGTACAAAATTATAGTTCATTGTATACAAATTGACCTTTTCCCCTTCCATGTCAACCGTTTTATGTTTGGCTAAGTAACCACTAGTGTGCTAAGGTCTACTTTTGCCCTTTACTTTGTTTTAAGTAAATATTATCATTAAGCTGAATGACAAGTAGAGGCTTATCGCAATAGTTTTCAGTATCTGCTAATGCTGTATTCTGTGAGGCACGCTCTCTGGACATCTATTGCAATACTGGTTAAAAGTTACACCTTTTGTATCTAAAGTGGAGACCAGACTTTTAACAATTATATTATTGTTTTGTTTTGTTTTTGGACATTTCAATAAGGTCAGAGGCATAGCTTGGAAATATTACTTTTGAACTAACATTCGCAACATATTAATGCCATCCTACAAATCTTAAATACTTTGACCCCCCCCCCCCCCCCCCCCCAAAAAAAAAAAAAAAGCTTTAGTTTGGGGCTATGTTTCAGTCTGTGTAAAGAGTAGTATCTGTTTCCTTTTTGTGGAAATGATTTTAGGCTTGTGACTTTCAAAAGTTTAATTCTTAAATCAGCTGTTTCCCAACATGGGAGGCTTTCAGATGTACTGAATTTCCATTGTTAGGAATGATGGGATTCATAATCTATATTGGGATGGTATGCAATATGGAGGCTGCAGAAGCCTGGCTTCTATGCTGTATAATGTTTAAGTCTATAGATTGGGTAGTCCTTATTCAGATATTGTACAGAATCACCTTAAATGTTTCGGAAACCTAGAACTTTAAGATGGGCTTTGCATCACAATTTCTGATCTCTCAAGAATTTGAATTGTTACAAGAAAAGGAGCAATATGGCCAAGCAGTTCTATTTTAAAATTTCCTCTATTTAAAATCCAAACAGAAATAAAAACACTGCATTATTTCAGGTGTGGTCATTGTAAGAACCTGGCTCCCACATGGGAAAACCTCTCAAAGAAGAATTTTCCAGTGCCCATGGATGTCAAGATAGCAGAAGTGGACTGTACCACTGAACGCAATGTCTGCAATAGATATTCTGTAAGTAGAGACTTTATACTACTTTACATGAAGTTTATGCTACATGTTGAAGTTTTAGCATGTGACTTTTAGTTTAGCTGACTATTTAATTTTTATGGGATCATGAAAAAAGCATTATGTAGACTGGCATTCTATTAATAAGTTACAACATCCTCAGTTTGCCTTATGCCGCTGCAGCTTGTTCTTTCATTCATTCTGTAAGTTGGAGTTCTCTTCCAATCATGCAACACGCATGAGGTCTCTTCTGAAGAAACCCTTTCTGTAAACCATGCATTCCCCCCAAAACCATGGCTATTGGTGGGTTGTCAGAAAGCAAGGAGATCAGCAGTGGTGCACCCACCTATATTTCCTTCAGCTGGAAAGATGGTCATCACATTGCCTGTCGAGACATACTAGGAACCCCAGAGATCCCTGATGTTGCATACTGTAATTCCTCCAGCTATAGAAAAATAGCTAGATGTCCCTGCAGCTTCCCACAAACACCAGACAAAGCTACAGAGGTATCTATCTTGATGGAACGTAGGCAAGAAAGGGAGGACCTCAGTAGATCCAGATGCTTGGCAAATAGGAAACAGCTGCTGTGCTATAAATCTAGTAGCTACAGCTTCAGGAGTTTGCTGCTAACAACTGACTTGTGTGAAGGCAACAACTCTGCTTTGTAACTCTGGCTTGTCTTCTTTATGTGTCAAAGCGACTTCTTGATTTATCATTCTTATGTAGACCTTCTTAAAGCTCCCTTCTTGCTCTGGACTTTCAGGGAAAAGGGGAACCAGGTTACTGATTCAATTTGCTTTATATTTTTGGGAAAAGCCTTGATCTGTTTCCTACAATAGGACAACAGGAGAAGTTGAATAGCATCATACCATGATTATTATTATAAACATAACGAGAGTAGGGAAGATTCTACACAAGCAAAAAATGCAGCTTTGAGCCAGAATGAACATGCTGGTTCTGGGGCGCTATCAGCCACCTCCGCAGCAGGACACTGGCCCCACAGCCAGTTTGGCACTGCAGGGAATGGGGCCAATTCCCACACACACATGCACCCTGATTTTCCTCTCAAAAGAAAGAAAAGCAGCACATGACCTCCTGCCTGTATACTTTCCTTCTCCATGTGAGCAGCAAGGCAGCTTGTGTGGAGCAATACTTCCTTTCTACACAGTTGCCTGTGCATATTTTACTGATTAAGCTCCAACCTGGCCTAGACTGCTTTACTGAAAGCTACAAACAATTCCTCCATATGGATCGAGGTAATCACAGCAAAACTGTGCCCCCCACTCCACCCTGGTATCTAGGTTTTGTTGTTGAAAGTTGGATTTCGGGCGTTTACAAATGCTGTGCCCAATTTAATCTTTTTAGTGGGCATAAATAGGATTGTGCTGTTAAAATACTAATGCTAGGGGTAGTGTGGTTTTTTTTTCCCCTGGGGCACATATACTGAAAATAAAGATTACTGTAAGAAGCTTGGTGGTGTTCCATTGATATGCCTTGTCTCACATCTTTTCAAGGTGCGGGGCTACCCAACGCTGATGCTTTTCCGTGGCGGGGAGAAGGTTACCGAACATACTGGAGCCAGAGATCTTGAAACACTGCATAAGTTTGTTCTGCGGCAAGCAAAGGATGAACTGTAAAAGCCTACCTGTTTGGATGCAGCTTCTTATAACTGTGTCTGTCCAGTAAATGGGATTTAAATCATGAAAACATTGAAATTTCTGACAGTGGTAATTTGGGAAACCGAATCTACCAAAGGACATCATCTTATGTGTATGCGTTTGTATTTCCGAAAGCCTTGCCGTATTAAGGGAATTATGCAACCATCAGTCACTGTTCAAATAGAGAATATTTTCAGTACTGACCGCATTAATGAACTTCCAGTATGATAAAGAAGAAAATGTTCCTTTGAGGACTAAAATAGGGAAAAGAAGGTTAAAATTTAGCATCATGAGGCATTACTTTCAGTGCTGGGCACACAAGTTAGAAACTTACAACAGGCATACAGTTTCCAGAACACTACAATTATTACCTTGATTTTGTTATACTGACAAATAACTGTCTTTAAAAATTTCTCTTTAAAAAATGTTAAAATGAAACTCAAAAGGCAAATGTGCACAAACGAAACTCTAGAAAGGTACTTCTTACCATTATTGAGGGGTGCATTATAAAGAAATGGTACTGTGCTGGTTATCTGCTTGTTATTGAACATGGTGTCTGTCAGTTGCTGACTGCTGAAAAATACAGTCTTGTGAAGTCATTGGCTCTCTTCCTGCAGACTCCATGTTTATTAGAGTAAACAGATAGTACTTTAAAATCGGACTTTAAAAACAAAACAGTAACTCCTTTTAAGCCCCTATTTGGCATAGTAACCAGGATCTGTTTGGTTAAGAGTTTTATCAGGGTCTGTTGCTTATCATTTAAGAAAACATGCAGGAAACAAAAGTAGACTCTTGAATAGTTCTCTGCTTACAGAATATTTCTTTCCAAGTAACATAAACAAGGGAGGTAAGCGTACCTACAAAATATTTCTAGGCAGTCTCTAATTTTGAGCAGATTCTTTACCCCCTGCCCAAGTTTAACATGTGAGAAATAGAATCAAAGCCAAAGAAGTTATAGTGCAGGTATTAATTGGATGTTCAATGAGAATAGCAAACTAGATGCTAAAAATTGTACTAGTTTGTATATAAACATTTATTGCCATTTATTTGGGGAGAAGTTCCAGGTTGTGTACACACAGGTTCTTATTTGTAAAATAATGTTACTGCTCAGCCTTCCTGAACCTAACACCAACCACCTGATATGCTGGACTACGACTCTTACAACTGGTGAGGGGACTATTTTTTTAGGGCAACAGGTTGGGGAAGACTGCATATTACCATTTGTTTCAAATGAAGGGTTACAATGAATAGTAGCCATGTCTATATTCTTACATTTGTACTGTAGTTTATCCTTTCTATTAAAGGTCATGGATTTTGTCCAGCACAAATTCGAAGAGAGTGAAAGATGGAATGTCTACCAAAGGGCTAATCACATATGGCAGATCTATCACATCAACGCACATGTTTCTGCCTTAAAAGGATCCTTTATTCATGATGGCTTTTTAAAAAAGCTAACAAAGCACAATCTCATGACAGGCTTGAGCTGTAACTCATGAGTTTCCTGTACAAAATCAAGTGGTACAGTTGTTTACACAAGCAATTTCTGAATAAAATTATCTTCTTTTTTACAAAAACCCTTGGTCTTGTTACATAGTACATCAAAATTAATATTTCTGACAGTTGCAATAAATTATAATTTTAATTTATTTACAAAAGCCCTTTTAAAATGCAAAGTAGTCAAGGAGAAGTGCACTTTTCTGAATTCTTGCCCCCAAGAATTCCCATGTGGAGCCAAATCTTGGAAGTAAGCATCAAACACATTTCAAATTCATTTTCCGAGATAGGTAAGGTTCTGCATAAAGTATGGAGAAGTGCAAAGGGAGGTACAAGTATATTAGGAATGTTTAATGGGACTAGAAGGGCTAAGTACTCACTGAATCCATCAATGAACACAGTTCTCCTACAAATTCCTGCAGCTTTGAACCCCCACCCCCTATTTTGCCCTTTTCATTTGTATTGCATTGTTGAGAAGTACAATAGGATACCTGATCTTCTGAAATCAAGCTTTTAATACTTAGGCTGGTCCATTTTATTTCCTGTTTTAAGCGGCTGAAAGACTCTTTTTTTTTTAACTAAAGATGTATCAGAATATTTTCAGAATCCTCAGTTTTTAAAACTGGTATCTTAAATATGTCTGTTAGGTTTTTATATTTTACAGTGGTTTAGTCCAACATACCTTTTTGCTGTTTGTTTGAAGGGGCCAGAATACATGTGTGTTTATGCACACATGTGCACTTAGTAGTGATGGTGGAAGCACTTAAAAAAGTTAGTTCAGAACTAACAAGGTGCAGCTATGAAATGTAAGCATAATAATTACCTTGAAAAGCTGCCCATTAGTCTGATGGACAATTCTGTCTAGAACACCAGAAAGTCTGCTAGTGTTATCATACTCTCTTTTGTGAAACTTAGGCTGTAAGGACGCATTACAGTGAATGCCTGTTGCTGAAGAGCCAGGAGCAAAGCTTGATTTTAACACAGTAAATATGCTCCTTAATGATCAAGGTTGTGACATACAGCTTGCATGCTTTTGAAGCCAAGTAAAGATTGCTTAGTTTAGCTGTATATGGATGGAACATTACCTGGAACAGTGCATTTCCCTTCTCGGCACAAAGCCCATTTCCTTGTGACATTGTCCAAGCTTTGAAGCCTGTATCTAAACGGGACTACAGATCAAACTGTAGAATGACTTTGGTTTGCTGCATCAACAGGATCCCACACTTTACAGTTTATTCCAGCAAACTTTTTGCATGACCAAAAAGACACCACTGTGAGAGCTCTTCCGAAGTTCTCAAATAGCGTTGGAGTTCCTTTTTTGTCTTTGTTCTTCCTCAAGGCACATTCTTCTAGAAACATTAGATGTTCCCTCTGAGGCACAGGATGGAAAGTGTTTAGTTTGGTTTTCAATGTCTGTCTTTAGAAAAATGTCTTGTCAGTGACACCCACAAGCTCTTACCACCATATTCCTGTATTTCTTCAAGATGACATTGGAATTGTCATCGAAGTAAAGAACTGATATTGCATTAAGTTTTGTAGGGGCACAACATGGCTTAGGAACGTTCTCTGGATTCATTAAATGAACCTGTTTAAAGAAACAAACAGATTTATTTGTAGCTTCAATCCCAACTGTATCAATCACATTTAAATCTGGGTTTCCTTCAAGAATTAGGGCAGTTCCTACATTGTTTCCTTTCTTTGTTCAACATCGTTGGTTATATATATTTGGCATATCCCTTAGTTATGCCAGCATCTGCACTTTTAGGGATGTCATGGAAGGAGATACCCTGTATCTATGTATTGTCGAAGGCTTTCATGGCCAGAATCACGGTTGTTGTAGGGTTTTTTGGGCTATATGGCCATGTTCTAGAAACATTCTCTCCTGACATTTCGCCTGCATCTATGGCAAGCATCCTCAGAGGTAGTGAGGTCACTACCTCTGAGGATGCTTGCCATAGATGCAGGCAAAACATCAGGAGAGAATACCTCTAGAACCATGATGGTGAACCTATGACGCGTGTCAGCACTGACACGCATGGCTATTTTTGATGACACACAGACACATGTGGCCACATACAGAGAAATACACCTTATAAGAGCCAATCTAATTCCATCCTTAAATTTAAAAGGCTCAACAAATTTAACATATGCACGTTTGAGCATTGTCCACTCCATAACGCAGCATGGATGATACATTTTTCTTATTTAAACTATAAATATTGCAAAATTATGGTTTTTTTCTTGAAGTGACACTCCACCCAAGTTATGCTCAGGTTTTTGGCAAATTTTGACACACCAAGCTCAAAAGATTGCCCATCACTGCTCTAGAACATGGCCATATAGCCCAAAAAACCTACAACGACCTATCCTGTATCGCTTTTTGCCAAAACCTCAGTTGGACCAAGGGTGTTTTTCTAAGTCTTTGATAACCTCCACAAAGAGACTTTAGAGAAAAAATATAGAGGTTGCAATAGCTACTCACCAAGGTTTGTACAATGGCATGATTGGTGGCATTCATATGAGCATTGAGAGGGAAAGAACATTCTCCATCGCAGTAGTTTGCTGCATAGCCCTTGGGTGCAATTATCCAGTCCTTAACAAAAACAAAGCAATGTGTATTATACATATCTGTTGTAATTAATACAGTTCAGGCTACTTGGTTCAGTGTTGAAAATGTCTCTCTTGGAATTCTCTTCACACTGCAGTGTGCTTTTGTTGACATATAATAAGTATAAATGGATAGATCAGTCCTAAGACTACAGCAGGCATGGGCAGACTTCGGTCCTTCAGGTGTTTTGGATTTCAACTCCCACAATTCCTAACAGCCGGTAAGCTGGCTGGGATTTCTGGGAGTTGAAGTCCTAAACACCTGATGGGATGAAACTTACCCATGTCTGCTTTATAGCCTCAGAAACTGGCAGTGTGGAAGGAATTTTCATGGATTTTCAGTGCAGGATATTAACCTAATGCATGAGTCAGTGTGCTAATGAATTGTCCCTGGTTTGTTTGTTTGTTTGTTTGTTTGTTTGTTTTGGCCATGTTCTCGTGTCTGCAATAGTCCTCTGCCACATACCAAGTGGTAAATTTAGCCAACAGCTCATCCAAATTAGATCATATTATGAATGCTTATCTGAAATTTACTGTTATGGGAGATAGTTATATATTCCAATATAAATATTGATCCCGTGTGTTCTGCACTTGTTTATAGCATGATGAAACATTATGGTTTCACCACTTCTTTCAAAGATGTTTCAAGTTATGCATCTTTGATGTGCAATCAGGACTCAAAACAAAAAAGTTTTTATATGAATCCCACAGAAACGTTTCTATTGAGTTTTCAAGACAGATCGAGTTGGAACAATTTAAACTACAAATCTGTTGGCAGTGACTGAATCCAGTGTGAACCATATTTAGCAAGTGCTTTGATGGGCTAAAAAAGCTATAAACCTCAAAGAGCCTTAAAACTGGATTGTGTAACATAAAACATGAAATATTTCAACACTGTGTATCAGAATACATAACACACCTACACAGATGTAACAGCTGTGAGTCTGCATCACTAGAGGTAACGACAATGACAGCACAGGTTTACTGTCAAGTGTTACAACTAATAGTGCCCATTTCAGCCTGACAATGCCTCTGTCAAAGGATTTCTCAAACCTGGTAGCTGGAAAATGACATCTGCGGTGCTTTCCTCATCATAGGATGCATCTGGAGAGACCCTTGGAGTCCTACTGCAATTTCTTATCTCAATGCACCCCACAATCAGGGAGTGCTGAAGACATTTTTTCCCAGCATCCCAACTTGTGATACTCAAGAAGCATTTTTGTAGGGACACTGTCAAGCTGAAAAGTGGGTTTGGGGAGGGCAGTCACATTTGGTCATGAACTACTATACATGTGAAGTCTCCAGCAGTTATGAGATGTTATGTCAGTGACCGAAAGAAAAGAGATGGTCTGCCCTTAACCTCTATTTTGCTATTTATTTATTTATACTGGTCTCCTGCCAATACAATAATGAAAGGAAAAAAAGAAATGGGTCTTATTATTTAAAAAAAACACCAGCAAATTAAGCCTCTTTAATTCAAAAAGACATGAATGTAGTAGCAGATATCATCTTTAGAACTCTGCAGGTCTTAAAACTGGGGGGAAAAGACAAGTTCAAAAAGTCTTAAAACTAGATTGGCCAATAAACACCAGGAGTCCTTTTAAAAAAAAGCTGTCAGATTAAAATACTAAGCCTCAGGGTTATTCTTACAAATAATATGATAAAACAGCAAGATAAAAATGTTGTGTTCGCATGTTGGATTGCAGCCAACATAAAGAACTAGGCCCCTTACACTCAAGATAATTACAAGCTTAATTTGTTTTAAAATTTAATTAAACTTTTTTTACATTTTAATCACATGTTTTTGTTGGATTGTATTGGTAGTGTCCTGAATTCTGTATCTTGAGGAGAAAAGAAGGATACAAATAAAATAAAAGTGATTAAAAGGCCATCAGTGGGAAGTCTACAAATATCTTGGAGTCATCCTTTCTTGGTGGGGGGTCTTTTGTAGCCAGATCCAGGAATCAGTGCGGTAAGAAGCAGTCTATTTCAATATGGTTAATATTATTGTATCAGTATGTATACAGAGGTACAAATACTACATACCTGCCATCCCAAATCTTGAAAGCTGACATAAAGTTCATGCTTTCTGCAAGCGGTTTTTAGGTCACTGCTATTGTAATCTGTGAGGAAATATTTATTTTTAAAAATGGTTAGAATTTATTGCTACACAATTCTAATGTCACAATGTGCTCAGATCTAGAGCTGGTAGTACAGTATGTTTTCTGTATCTGTGGAAGATACACCTTTAGTATGTCCATGGATAATTACGAAATGAAAGACTTCCACTCCAAGAATATCATGCTAGAAAATCCATAGATGAGCCAAATTTTCTCTAGTTTAACCAATGGAATTCACCAATGCATTCACTTTTCATTCCATGATGGGTTGAATGACTGTACTATAGTCAGAACTAGCCTATATGTGTTAGGTGTAGTCTTCTGCTCTCCTTCAGAATACAAGGGTTACAGTGGACTTCCAAATGGAAAATGAAGCCTTAACGTTTCTGAATGTCCATTAAGATTGCCAGCTTTACCCACATAAATCCCATTTCTTCACACACACACACACACACACACACACACACACACACACACATATACTACTCCCTTCTGATGAGCAACATGTTGATATATATTTTTATCAATTTGTTTGCACCTACTAAAGGAAGGATGGATCTAAAATAGCCCAGTTTCTAAGTGTAGTAGAATCAGCCTGTTAAAAAGATAGGCAACAATAAAGTTCTCTCTCTGCGCGCGTGTGTGTGTATGCCTTCAAGCCATCTGTCAACTTATGGCAACTCCATGGATTTCAGAGGGCTTTCCTAGGCAAGGAACACTCAGAAGTAGTTTTGCCGTTTTCTTTCTCCATAATTCAGCCTAACACAGCTGTTATTAATCGATGGTCTTCCATCCAAGTACTAACCAGGGATGACCCCACCTAAATGCCAAGTAAGCCCCTACTAAAGTTCTGTACCTCTTCTGAAATGCATGATGTCTGGGGGCAAAGGACCACACAACAGGAATGGAGTACACACCTGGCAAATGGAAGGTCCCAGTTTCAATCATGAATACCACCAGTTTGTTCATAGGTTTAGGCAGTAGTTGAAAGATTTTTTGAAAATCTAAGACACTTTGCCAGAGTATACAACACTGGGGAAGATAGAGAATCCAGGCACGTTAGTGCTCGTCTTCTTGTGATATCACATCAATCCATATTTGATAGATATTAATGTTCTGCAAGTTGTTTTGGCTTATATATTTTATTTCATTTTTTTAAACGGCCTCTGTTTTCAACATTCATGAAAGGTTTCTTGATTATTAATTATAAGATTCACATTTCAAATATCAAGTTAGGTATTATCCTAAAGGTAAGCTTTACTTTTAGTCTTTGAAAATTCAAAACAGCTATGTCATTTCCCCCTCCTCTATTATCAACTATGTTCTTTTAAAGGTAGTCAGAAAAATGCCAGTGTTAAAGTACTGACTCTATATAGGGTTTGGAGTCCTATATTGTAAATAGTTTGCTTGTAGTTAACTGCCATAAATGTCCCAACACAAGATGTCATCCAAGTCACAGTTCTATAATAAAATCTTACATAAGTACAAACATTAAGTGAACATTTTCTATGTCAGTGGCCTTCACAGAATAAACAAAATAAATGGTACTGTCATTTACGCAGATTATAAAAATGCAGTTTAGATTTATGTGCACAAAGCTGTATTAAAGCCACTATCTATTACAACAAAATAACCATGTAATTGAAAATATAACCCCACCCATCTAGTCAAGCAACAAACAGTATCAAAATTTAGCAGAATATTACTTTTTTGTAATGATTGTGACATCTTTATTTACTCCCCTTTAAAATGATAATATGGGCCTTTTTGTTGTTGTTCCCTCTGCAATTTTTTTTGTTTGACTATGACCCTTAATCTGGGGGATATTATCCAGCAAAGATGGTCCTAAGCTAATTCTGGCACACTGGATGACATATGCAGACATAATAAAGGTTTCACCTTCATATGTACATTCTCAGACCTTGCAAAATGAGGTATTCATTAACACCTTCCCACAGATGGATGAAGACCTTTAGAGGCCCTAAGCACTTAAAAGATTGTGGTGCCCCCTATATATATATATATATAATGCAAAGCTAAAATAAAAAAATATTTTCAAAATGAAAAAAAAATATTTTGTTAGATGGAAAATGATGTTTACTTTGATATGCTTCCATCTTACTCATTTTTGAAAAGTTCTCCTACTTGTTTGAATTGCAACGTCTTTTATTGCAGAAACCCCTCTTGCTTCAGAAGCACCATTTGCAGTTTTGCATCACACCGTCCATTGTAAATTGGCAATGGAAAATGTCTGGGGTTCCCCCTTTCCTTGGTGCCGCATACACATACTTATTGTGCTTAATGGTTAATCCAGCCCTGCACTTCCACAAGGCTCCCATCAACAGCAAAGGGGCTTCCAAGTGGAACTCCATCTCCAGTCTGCTGATAACCTGGAGGACAAAGACTCTGATTCACTCCAGCTGCTGCTTTTGGGCACTGACAGAGGAAGGACTGGATCCTCCTGCCTTCCTCTTGTACCCATTAGAGGAAGGCACAGATAGCAGTGCCTCCTGCCTCCATAAACATGCTGGCAAAGGCTTAGTTTTAGTGTGTATTCTGGAGACGTTCATGCAGAATCTTGCTCTCTCCAAACTGAGAACCTCATCACACTAGAGAATGAATCCACTTTAAATCTGATTGCTGCCTCCTGCAGAATTCTGAGGTTTGCAGTTTAGGGAGGAACCTTAAACAGCCTCATTAAACTACTAACCCCAGAATTCTGCAGGAGGCAGAAACCGGATTTAAAGTGGATTCATTCTCTAGTGTGATGAAGTAGTGAGAGAGTAAAAAGGTTACTCTGAGTGGAAATTGCACATGAGACAAAAATATCGAGCTGCTTCCATAAATGAACTTGCACATAGGTAAGTCACCAGCAGGACTTTGATTGGGAAGTTTCTTGAGACATGCTATTTTACTATACTTTGGTGACAAGGGAACAAAAAAAATGTAATTCCATGTGATGTGATGAACCAAAAACAGCACGAGTATTTTATTTTCACCTTGCACAACCAGCATTTAAGAGATTACCTGTGACACTGGATACCCTGGAAACGTCTTGAGGCTGAGTGGAGCGGTTTCGACTCTGTTCCCTGCGCCTGTTGGAGGCTGACCTAGCTGTTCGAACATGAACCTCACTCACTTTGAAAAAAGCCACCATGAAAGGCTGTTTGTCATAAGGGCCATCTCGACCTATTAGTCCTGCTTCTCTAGGGTTTATACTGAGACCTATAAATTAAACCAAAAAAGTGGTGTGTCATATAAAGAGCACAGTGTTTCTGAATAGTTCTTTTGAGCAACACAGCCGCTTTCCTACAAGCTAACAGTCTGTTGCCCCACTTAGTTTTTACTTCCCACTCACCCATTCCCACCCCTTCTATCATGAATATTATCAAATATTCTAATGAGTATGGAAATTTCAAAAGCTTTGCTTTATTAAAGTTCAAAAGGTCATGCATGCACAATTGCTGTAATAACTGGTTTTGTAAACTGACTGCAAATCAGCAGGAAAAGACTGGAAAATATAATGAGACATACTTAATAGGGCCATATGCAGTATTAAAAAATACAGTTCTGTGATCTGTGCAAAAATACAGTTTGGTAGCATATCTAAAATGTCTTTTATTTCACACATTTTTGTTTATCTTGCACAATTTATTCAGAAATGTTTCATTATATATATTTATAATAATAATAATAATCTGACAGTGCTAATTGGTATCAAGTTGACTTTGGATTTTGGTGACCCTTTCAATAAGTGACAGGTCTCCAAGTCACAACATTATCAGGTCTTTAAAATTCAGAGCTATGACTACCTTGAGTCATTCCTACTGCCTTCTACTTTATCAAGCATGAATTAATATTAATATCCCACATTTTCCCCAGGGCTCAAGTCAGTTTATAAAAATTAAACAGCTAATGCTAAAAGAATTTACATAGCACAAACATCAAAATTAACCTATTGATAACATTAAAAAGATGCCCATCAAAAAGACAAAACAATAAATCAAGACAACACAACATATGAAATCCCTTTCCCTTTGTGCAATTACAACATCATGACTGGCTGAAATGAGGGAGGAGGCATGCCTATGAAAGAATAGACATGAGAGGAGCCCCCCTAGTAATTCTAGGAAAGAAAATTCAGGGTCTCAGAGCAGCCACTGAGAACGTCCTCTTGCAAGTTCCCACCAGATGTACCAGTGAGAATGGTGGGACATTGAGAAGGGCCTCCTCCATAAAATTCAAAGACATAAATGGGCTCTTACTAAAACCATTCAGCCTTGGAAAGTCACTGGTAATCGGAATAGATTATATTGGGCTAGGTCATGGTGGGCAATTTTGGCCTTCCAAATGCTTGTGGACGGTAACTCTCAAAGTCCCTTCAGGTATGCTAAAGCTAATAAATGTTATGTGTGGTGGGTACTTAACAAGTATTTTGATGTGTGTGTGAGAGAGAGGAAAAACACTTGGAGTAAGTGCCTTGATAAAGAGAAAAGAATAAAAAAGGGAAACTAATATTAAAGATTCCACAGGACTCTGATTTTCCCTTTCCTCCCCTTGCTTTCTTTTTAAAAAGCCAGGCATTCCCAATGTATTACAGCCTCAAACACTGAACAACCAGCAGACGGAGCAGCTTTCAATCTGTGTTTGGATTCAGAGCCCAGCGAGCATATCCCAGCTGTGCTTTTGGCTACATTAAGCAGAGCATCACATCACAGCTGAATGCTATAAACATAGCTTCCAATTAATGACTAGGTCATTGGCCAGATGTTTAAAGTATGTTGGCCTGTTACCTACCGTCCCTGGTCACCACACTCATCTGGAGTCCCAAGTTGTGCTGAGGGTTTATCACCCACATGTTACTGGTGGCAGTGATGTCAAACTCCAGCCAGCCTTCTTCTGAGGCCCATACTGCTCTGGTGTCCAGCATAAACAGATCTGAATCTCTGAAGAAGACAAACAAAAGCAGCAGCAGCTTAAGAGACTGGAGAGTACTGCACTATCATTCTGGTCCAAGTTTCCTGTTTGCTTTCATGGCTTCAATACTTCCAGGAGGCAATGGCAAAAATACTTTTTGTTGCCTGTCACTGTAATTTCAGCATGAATGTAACTACATATTTAATAAGGATGGAAGCTGTTATCTATGGTTACATGTTGTATTTGCATTTCCTTGAACCAATTTGGCCAGCAAAAATGTCAAATATTTAAATGTGACAAGACGAAGCTCTGAATAAATTTGCAGAGTCAACAAAAATACTATCAGCTGTGCTCACAAATTTTGAAGTGCAGTTAACAACAACAACAACAACAACAATCTTTATTTATACCCCACCACCATCTCCCCAATGGGGATTTAGGGTGGCTAACATGAGGCCAAGCCCAAAAAATACAATACAACACAATAAAATACAGAGTGCAAAAAACAAAGCTTACAACAGAAAATAATTACAGAAGCAAAACAAAACAATAAAGCAAATTAACACAATATATAATCGAACAGGGTGGACAGGCCAAATGGATGAGATATGAGTCCCCTTGTGGGAGAATGGCGGAGTAGAAAGGAAGGAAATAAATGATAAAATGATAAAACCCTGGGAGAGGCAGGAATAGAAAATGTGTAAGTGAGCTCAAGAAGGATAAAACAGTGGGGTAAGGTATTCAGTTTAGGGTGAGGGAAAGTGCATCATAGGGGCAACACTATAGATGGGGCAAACAGAAGTGGGATAAATCATCACTCTCCAAAGGCACAATGGAAGAGCCAGGTTTTCTGGTTTTTCTTGAAGTCTGCTAAGGAGGGGGCTTGCCTAATCTCACCAGGTAGTGAGTTCCAAAGACGGGGAGCCACAGCGGAGAAGGCTTTTTCCCTCATTCCCACAAATCTTGCCTGTGATAAAGGAAGAGACGAAAGGAGGGCCTCCCCAGAGGACTGGAGAGATAGTGCAGGTTGGTGGTAGAAAATGCAGTCACAAAGACTACAGTTGAATTAGAGCAGGCATCTTCAAACCGCGGCCCTCCAGCTGTTTGGGCCTTCAACTCTCAAAATCCTTGACAATCGAACAAGCTCGTTAGGGCTTCTGGGAGTTGGAGGCCCAAACAGCTGGAGGGCCACAATTTGAGGATGCCTGTATTAGAGAGACATACTGAAGAAAAATAATTTTAAAAATAGACTGATATATTGATTCACAGCAACATGCCAATTCTAGCAGTTTTCATCTCCATTTTATGCTGGTATTTGCAGAACTAACAAGAATTCACTGCCTGGGATGGTGTGGTTTTGAAACCAGAACACACTGCAATATAATAGGGATATCTGGAGTCTGGAAAATTGTTCCATTTTTTCTTCTTCTCAGTGTCTTTCCAGACAGCAGCTTGTTTAATTTTACCCTACAGAAATCAGTGGAAAGTGTTGAACTTCTTCACCTTGGCATTACTAGCATTAATTAAAACTTGGGGTGTCTTTACCACCTATTAGATTTAAACCACTTTCTTGGTCTAATCTGCCAATTATCTATCCGGATTTATATACAATGTATCAGATCTAAATGTTCCCTCTAACTAGCAGAAGCACTCCCTGAGTGAGGATTTGTTCAGAGATAAGGGAAAAATTTTCAGCAACTCCTCCTCCTTCTGAAGCCAACAGTCCCACATCCCACATCCCATACTGTTTGGATAGTTATTGTTGTCATTGATACATGCCATAAAATCATTCCTAGTTTAAGGTGATACTATCATAGGGTTTTCTTTGAAGATTTCTTTCAGAAGGTGACCCAGTAAGTTTCCATTGCTGAGTGAGGATTTGAACCCTGATTTTACAGGCCCTGTCTCCGCTTACATACAATACAGTTTCAGAGTACAGATTACCTGCATTAACTGGATTATATGAGTCTACAGTACTATATAATCCAGCTCAATACAGTTAATCTGCATTCTGAAACTACATTGTATGGCAGTGTAGATGGGGCCTCCATTGGATGAAAAAGTTTCCAAAATCACGTAAGCCTACTGTGCCCAAAATCTAGATATAACTCACTAGATATAATCAATTAGCAAACTACAGTCAAATGTAAAGAAAAATAGACCAGGAGCTTTACTTTCCACACTACATATAAGGGCCTCAATCTAGGAAAACTGAAGATGCATCTACACCAGGCATGGGCAAACTAAGGCCCAGGGGCCAGATGTGCCCCCCTGGGTACTTACCTCATGCCCTCCTCATTTTCACTGTTCTCTTGGCAGAAGGACACGGTGGCCCACCATGTCTTTATGCTAAAAAGATGAGGGAGGAAGGCATGTAGCAGCTGAGAGCCCTCTTAGCGCTCTCAGCTACCTTGTGTCTTGCCCTCCACCCAGCTTAAGGATGGTGTGAGCAGCTCCATCCTTATGCCAGGAGGACTCCTCAAGGAAGGCACTTGGCGGCTGGTAGCCCTCCGGAATAGAACACACTCAGCCATGGCCTGTCTCACCCCACTCCCAGCATAAGGCCAAGAGGACAGCCTGAGAATTGGGGAGAGGGAGTGGGAGGAGGATGGGGGGAGGATCAGGGCAGTCACTGTATGTCTCACCTTCCTCCAAGCATAAATATGGGGAAAGCAGTCCCATCCTTATGTTGGGAGGACAATCTGAGGATGACACTGACCCAGGTCTGACCCTCCTGGCCCCGCCCTCCTTTGAGCCCCCCTTTGGCCCTCCCCACCCAGCATGTGTTTGCCCCCCCCCCCTGCTGGATCGGCACTCCCAGCAAGGCCAACAATGAAACCCCATGCCTGATCTACACAGTAGAAATTATTTGTTTTGATTCCACTTTAATTGTCATTGCTCAGTCCTATGGAATCCTGGAATTTATATGCCAGTGGGGCATCAGCACTCTGGTAGAAAGGCTAAAGATCTTGTAAAATAATAACTCTCATAACATTCAGCCATGGCAGTTAAAATGGTGTCAACTAATTCAACGTGGGTCAACTAATTCAACGTGGATCCCCAATTCAGCATGGGGATCAAAGCTGGTGTAGATGTACTCTGGGAAGCACTAAGGGTTACATTTTTGTTCTGACTGCATCAAATGACCCATGAGGTTTTGGCTTTCTAACACTAATTCAGACAAAATATGACGTTCCTTTGCTCATTTGCTTAATACTGAAAATTGGGGAGATTAAATTAACATTTTAAATATTGATGGAACTGACTCACAGAAATCTTCACACAGCAACGTCAGTGTACACTTCAAACAACCTTTCAGTTCTGGCTATTTGCAGCTCAAAACTCCACCACTTAAGCCACAAGAGCAGCTGGTGTTTATTTACCAAATGACTGAATGTGCTGCCTTTTCAAGTCAGGTGCAGCTACACACTCCCTCAGATGGGTTCCAAACAGCAAATAAAGTCCCCAGGAGACTCACAGTAAACTCAGATTTCTCAAGCATACTGACTGGAGTTCTGTCATCCAGATTCAGGTGACATACAAGTTCTGTACAAATTCTGAAAACAGCAAACACAATCCCTCAGAGACTCAGCTTGTTTATTCACATTGTAATCCCACCAGCTACAAGAATCAAATCAATCAACACATATATTGTTTTCTGATAATAGTTCACAATACACAGTTCTTTCCATGTCTAAGGGCAGATCTAGACAGCCCCTTTATTGCGGACATTTCTGCAATAAAAAGGGGGCTGTCCAGATGACACTCCGGACAATCCCGAATTAATTTGCCGCAAACTAGGAAAACCCTGGTTTGTGACAAATTAATTAAATAGTGGGTTTATTCCGGAGTCCAGACACCATTCCCATAGTTTTCTAGACTAAATTAGACAATAGGACAGTAGTTCTCAAGCTGTGGGTCCTCAGATGCTTTGGCTTTCAACTCCCAGAAATCCTAACAGCTGGTAAACTAAATGGATTTCTGGGAGTTGTAGGCCAAAACACATGGGGATCCACAGGTTGAGAACCACTGTTCTAGGCCAAGTACACATTTTTTTCCTTGGGAGTAGGTAAGAAAAATCTTGGATATGGGTTCCATGGTTACACAGTATAGTCCACCCCTCCTACAAAAATGTTCCCCACACCCTACCAAATTTCCTCACAGCAAGTTTATAAATAAAGTTAAGGTGTAGAATAGTCATCTCTTGAGCTTCAAGATTGAGCAGATAATTGAAATGGTTCTCCTCATTCCTGGTGTAGCATTTTAACCACTACTCCACAGTGGCTTTAATTAAAAATTCTTGGAGAGAAGCCTGCAACCAAGTAAGCTACACTGCGCTACACAGATAAATAATTTTCACCCCAGTACAAGACTGTTTTGTGTGTACATCTGTACACATGCAATTTTTTTACTCTTCAGTTAACCTCTATGAGAGGAAATAAAGTCAGTAAACAAATGATCTAGAAAGAAGTGCCCAATTTACCTAAGCAATACAGATGGTCTACAGAGAAATAATTTATTTCTAGAATTTCTGTCCCACATTTCTTACCCACAAGACTCTCAAGAAAGGAATATTAGCTTTAGCTTTTCAAAGAAGAGTGTTCATTTGCTACTTTATAAATATCAACTCTAGCTACTATTCTTAACCAATACATCCTGGCCTTATATTTAGAACATTTTCAGGAGAAGTACTTCACAACTGATTGCAACACTTCCTATGTAATCTAACATGTTTTTCACTAAAACCTCTGTACAGTTTTCAAGAGAAACAGCCCAATTTTTATAATTAATTCCAACTACTTATCTCAATATTGATTGTACTATAAAGATTTATGTAATTGGTCAAACAGCTTCTGGTTTTGCTACTATAGTTGGCAGAAGTGTCAAACTAAAATAAATTTTCCCCTCTTTCCTAAACATACATCATATAATGGAACATTGCCACAGCAAAACATCACAGCTATATTTTAAGAGTGTGTGTGTTCTTTCGTACATTAATTTGTTGTTGTTGCTCTCCAACCGGAAAAAT